CCTCCTTTTATTCATTTCTATCCCGTTAACTTCCTTTGTTTTTCTTTTTTCAAGTTTTGTCCTTCTTTCTCACGATGAGCCTTTTATACTCTACAACACAATTAGATTAGAAGCGCCTCAAGGAACACCTAAAATTATGGTGTGACAAAGACAAAAGAGAAATGTGGTGTTTCATTAAGGACTTTTTACGGTCAAAAAGGTAGGTTTCTTGAAGTTTAAGGGAAGAAGAAAATGAAGGGATAGATGAGAGATTTAGCTACCTAGCACCCTTATTTTCAAAAGTTTGCCTTTTTGAAGTATAAGCCTAATTAGCCAGAGTGATGGTGATGCAAAGGAAGTTTTCCTTCTCTTTTTTTTTTTTTTCTTCCTTTATTATCATCCCAAATTGAGGAGGGAGGCCCATTAATAAGCAAAAAGTCTTTTCCTACACTGTGTAATCCATCAAACATAACAGTGATACATATATATATGTGCATTATGTCTATACATATATATATTTCTTTTAAGTTATATTTGTACTAAGATTGAAAAATGAAAGCTCCAAAGGTGAAGACACCATCATTTGCCAGGATAAGTTATAGATTCTGCGCTTTACATTTGACCAGGAAAAACAATAAGAAAAGCAACAAAAGGCATTTCTTCACATGATGTCTGTCACAGATGGAGATTGTGTGGTCCTCAGTTTCGACCCTTTAATTATCTTTCCATTTTTTTTGTAAAAGCTTCGGTTGCACCATATATTAATGACCCTGCGGAATGCTTCTCACCTTTGCTGAACCAGAACGTCTAAAAACTTTTCCTATCCTCCTCCTCTTTGCAGATTTTTGTACTGGCCCCTGCTTGAAGAAGGAAAACAGATTGGTATATATGTAAACCAGGAAAAGCTTTTAATTAAGAAACTGCACAATTGCACATGAAATTTTTACCTTGTGACTATTTGCATCCTCCTCCTCCTCCATTGCCATGCACGCATTTATATTACCTGCATAAAGGAAATTCACGTTAAATTCTCTCTCTTTATTGTAGTAGTAGCAGTAGTTGTTAAAATCAGGAAATTAAAGAATTATCACCTTCATTCTTGTTCTCTTGGTCAGAATCATACTGAATGCAGCAATATTCCCGGAAACTGGGAGATCCAGGGCAGAAGAGGCCTTCATCCCTGTCCTTTTGCTCTTTCTCCTCATCCTGTCCAACCTCCTTAGGTTCTTGTTTTTGCATCTCCTTTTTAGTTTTAGGCTTGCTTTCGCATTCTTCTTCCTCAAACTTTGACATCCCACAACCCATGAAGGAGGAAAGACATGAAAAGGAGAACGACAGAGAGAAGATTTCAGATCATGCACAATATTTGCTTAAGAAACAAAATGAGAGATCCAACGAAGCTTACGGGATTATAGTTTGTTTGCCATTAATTTGAGATACATTGCATTAATTTGCATGCATGTCTAAGTTAATTCTGTCCATGAAATTATGGAACAGAGGGAGTAACAGATTGCATCCATCGAACACAGAACCAATGGACAAGGAAATTCAATAATGGACATCCAACCAACAATTCCGTGGGATGGACGGAAATTCTGTCTATGAAATTAGCTACTCAACATAAGATTCAAGACATGTCATTGTTTATCCAACTACAATTGCTCCCTCCCTCTCAAATTATTTGCCAGCATAACTAACTTTCATTTTAACTTGATATTAATGAATTTATATAGAATATAATAAATGATAATTAAAATTTCTTTTTATCAAATAAAATTATTAAAAAACTTACCTATTAAAATAGAAATTGTTATATTTATGTGTTATATAAAAATGTTATCTATAGTTACGTGTGAATAATAATGGCAAACAACTTGAGACGTAAGGGAGTATGTATTGATATTAGTTTAGGAAATAAGCATTTCTTTTAAAGGTTTCTAGATAGGTGGAATTGTGGAATTAGAAACCAGAAAAGGAAGAAAGGAGTTCTGCATTTGAAAATGTAAGGGGTGGGGGGAAGAGTAAGCCGCAAGGGGCCACTTGATTGAAAAAGAGAGAAAAAGAAATGGAGGTGTCCAGGAAAGTCAGCAATCTCTGCCGCAAACCAAACCCAAAGCCGCATTTCTCTTTGCGTCCTGAAAGGAAAGACTTAATTTGATTCTAAAGCCACTGCTACAAGTAACTCAGGTCGGCTATTCTGTGGCATCCCCAACTTCTTCCATGTTTTTTTATCCTTATTTTTCCTAATCTATTCCTATTACTATCAGGACAACGACAAAAACCAAACAATTTGAATGCCGTACCCTGTTTGCTCATTTCAATTTCATGAGGGGTATACAATACATACTTACTACACATGGGAGTTGCCATTGACCAAATGGTATGCCATTGCCATTGCACTCTCAGAGAATTCTGTAACTGACCATAGTTTATATAATATATAAATCCTCTGTTTTTTTTTTTTTTTTTTTTTTTTTCGGGGTAAGGGAAGGTTAATTAACCATGGACAATGGAAATGTAATGATTCTCTTTCCTTTTGGTTCTATTCTACTGGCTGACACAAGGAATCTTATTCTCATCACCCCATAAGGAAGATGAGTCTTCCAAGCCTAGGAAGCATATACTAGAAAAAAACTTTTGTCTGTTTTGGTTACCATTCCCCAAAAACCAGCACCATTCTTTAGGAGAACAAATTAATTATGCACATTGAATAAATTTTTGAATGGCAGGATGGCAATGGTAAGGGAATCTCTCCAAATTGGTTCTAAAATACAATGCTTAAATTGAAAGCCTACAAACGTCATGTAGATTCGATTAATGGAAAGCATTATCGAGGAGGGTATTAAGTTCTTTTCGGAGAGTTGGAAAGATGAATGGAGGGGGAGGGAAGAGAATAAAGAATGAAGAATCAGCTCCCCCCCATGTGCAGATGCCCTTTTTTCAATTGCATGTTTAGACCACAAAGTCATGATCAGATAAAGATAATATATATATAGAACCTCTTTCTCTTTGGATTCTATGCATTCCTTTTTATTTTTTTATTTTCTATATGCGTGGAATGTATTTGCTTTGGATTATCTTTTTTTCTGCCTCAAAAATCATTTGCCTTTTGATAATAAAAACTTTAGATACCAGGCAATTATTTGTGCCACCTCTTTCCCTCTCACCATGATTCTTCTTTTTTATATATTTGATAAAAATTACTAACAAAGCAGCTGGTGGGGAATAAGGAGCAATTAATCTGATTGTGAAAAGCATCTCGTTTTGCTTGAAAAACAAACAATTTTTCACTGGAGTAATCCATGGAAGACAGTTGGAATTGAAGTTGCTTTTTTTTTTTTTTCTCATTCTCATTCACATTCTCATTTGTTGAACAAAAGTTCCAAAAACCGAAAAACAAAAAAAAAAGAAGGAAAAAAGGATTGAATAACAAAGGCTATCAAGCCATTCTCACTTTCTCATCCAAGAATATGATGGGAAACTAATGTCTTCTTGATCTAAATCCTCCTCGGTTGAACTTGGTGAAGAAGGCCGAGGAGGGCCACAATCATCAGAGTAATCATCCACTGTAAAATCAATGAAACCTTGTGGAGAGTTATTAATATTGTTGCAGCTTGAATTAGGAAGCAGATTACAAGTAATTAGTCCATGTTTCTTAGCTTTTCTCTTCTTCTGGAAAATCCGGTAAACAAACCAATCACCAAATAATTCCGGCATCTGCACACACGTATCAAAATAACGTCTCTTTAAGGTCTCCACACAGTTATATAGTCACAGTATGAACATACAGCTTCATTATTATTGCATGTATATACATGTATTTATACCTGATGAGCTGAATCAAGAGTTGGAGTAGAAGGCAAAAGGCAATATTGATGCATGAGCCATCTAGTACCACTGGCCCGGTGGGAATGCTTCCCTTGATTGAAAACCAGAGTTCTCTTCATCCCAACTGGTTGATTGCGTCCAGAAGCTACAATTAGCCTTTCTTTGCCAATAGTCTTCCAGAAGCCAGAAGGAGACACTCTTTTTCTTTTGTTTCCATTGACATTCATAGACTTATTGTCATATCTGTTGCTAAAGAAATACCTATATTTTTCCTTCAGGTCACCTAAAATCCACCAAAAATTAAAGTATATTTAAGATCTTTTTCGGACAAGTGTGTATATATATATATATAATCAACTGATTAAGACATGCCTAGCAAGCTTCATTAATTCTAGCCTTTATAGTCTTAATTATACCAAACATTACAATGCAGTTTGGTTTATTACAAGAGCCTTTTTTTTTTCTTCTTTTGTCTTCTCATCATAGACAAAAAACCAAACACATATCAGTACTATATATAATAAGAGCAGTAAAAACTGAGTTAAAATTAATTTCTTACATCTGGAGCTTGAGTTTGATTATCAAGACATATATGGAATACTATATGGATCTACTCCTAATAAACAAGAAATTAATTAATAAAAAAAAAAAAAAAGAAGATTAAGACGTGGGGAAGCGATCTACTGACTGACCTGGCAAACTCCAAGGAGCAGCCTGGAAGACATCTAACTCAGGAATAACAGAAGCAGGCAAAGGAAGACCCAAGTTCTTTCTGGTCAAATAATGAGTAACAAGCTCTTCATCTGTAGGATAAAACCTGTAGCCAACAGGAATCCTGATCCCTCCATTAACAACATAACCTCCTTTCTCCATGTCCATAGTCAGCGATCCCAGAACAGAAGAAGCCTATCAATTAATTCCCTCTGTAGTGTGTATACACAAAGTATACTTAGCTTATTTGCTAATTAACATGAAGCAAAACAACCATGTAAATTGGATTTTGATGAAATAAGAATGACGTATATATATATATATGTGTGTGTGCGCGCGCGCGCAATGAAGAAATTAAGGGAGTCAGAGAATTAGCCAAAAATAGGAAGAAAAGAGCAAAAGGCGAAAGCTTTGATGGCTTTTGCTCTGTGGAGTGTAAGAGGAAGGAAGACAAGAGGTAGTTTATATATAGATGGGGAAGCAAAAAAGCATAACTGAGAGAATGAGAAACCAACCAAAACAAAACCAAAGTCCTATATAATTAACCTATTCCAACTCCTACGCCAACTCCAACTCCATCCTTTATGTTTGACAGGTGGTTTCGTTTCTTACACAAACAAACGTGTAAGAAAAAGTCTGCCCATCGGCCCCACTACTTGTGCTGCATTGGCGCTGATTTTTCCCCAAATGAGGGCTCCACGTAATGGACCCTTCAACGCTCCAGATTTGTTCAGACAATCATCATGATGAAAGTCTTGCATTTCATAATTCTTTTTTCATCGTCCTGCTTTGCTTAAGCCGATGGCTGTCTCTCTTATCAGTCTAATTAATTAATTAATTAATTATTACCGGAGCATGACTATTGCTGCTAATATATGTTCACACAAATTTTTTAAATGTTGTATTTAAAAATATTTATTTTAATTTTTTCAATTATTAAAAATAGTTAATTGTTGCTAATAGATAAAGTAATTAATATTTATTATTTAATAAATTAAATTTAATATATAAATTGATGTTTTTCAAGATTATAAGTAGTTGTTTAAGAAAAAAATTAAAATTTATGTGATTTTACTAATAAACTAAATAATTTAGTGGTTATCTTCTTTTACGATAAATAAAAAGTTTTGAATTCAAATCGCATGACATGCATATGAGGTGAGAAAATAAATAAAAGATAATTACATTTTATTATGCAAGCAAGACGAAAAAAAATCCTGTGATTTTAACATTTTATTATGCAGTAATAATCACATCATAATAGGAAAATAAGTTTTTGACCCGAAATTCAAGATCAAACCATGTATGTTTTTTATTAAAAAAAATTATAATTTTGTTTTTATTACGACAGCTTAGGTAAATTAATTAGTAGAAGCAAATTTCCTCCAAAACGACAATTAAATGCCAAATTAGTCATAAACAAAAGTCAAAATCAAACCTAAACAGGGTCAAAATGTCTTCTTCTTCTTCTACAATGTTCCTCAATTTTCTTATAAATTAAAGATAAAGACAACAACGCAAAAAAACACAACCCACCAACTTCGAGCTAAGCTTCTCAAATTCAATGTCCCCCAGCCGATTGCTTACACCTACATCGCTTGATGATAAGTTTTTCTTTTCCTTTCAAGGCCTACACTTTTTCATGACTTGAAACTTATCCGCAAGTTAACATCAACTCCTCCTAACGGAGTATATATCTTAAAAATGTCTATTTAATATTTGAGACATCTCTTCGTGCCCTAAGCCTTATCCTCATCAAGTGTACTCAATATAGTTGAAGAAGAAAACTGGTTTTCTTTTCTTTCTCTCTCTCAATATATTATTAGAGTATTTTTCGAATCAATTTTCATAAATATTTAAACTAATCTACTTTTCAAATTATTTTACAAATACACCTTCTACATTAATTTTATACATTTAAGAAAATTAATTTTCTTAAATGTTAACTTTGACGTATTTTACCAATATACCATATATAATATATATTTCTCTCTACAAGGAAAACAAATAGTACTCCCCTATTTTTATTTATTTGTCCCACTTATTAAATTAGGATGTTTTTATTCAGTTATCATACTTAATTTAATTTTTAAAAGATATTAAATGCTTTTACTCGAAATTTACCCATATTATTTTAACATATTAATAAAGGAGAAAAGCTTTTATTAACAATAAATAAGATATTTCAATTCCTAATTAATACTCTCTATCATGAAGTAATAACAACTTTTTTTTATTTAGAAATTGTTCTAAAACAATAGTCATTTTCTCTTGTTTGAAGGGAGACAAATATTCTTGTCATATTTTAACTCATTATTATCTCTTATTTTTAATTATTCATCTTATTATAAAAAAAGTTTATTTTTCATTTTTTTAAAATAATATAGATAAAAATATAAATTATTCTTAAATTTTTAACATAAAAATAAAATAAAATAAAATAAAATATTATTATTATGAGGGAAAAGAGTAGCATATTTTTAATAATTTCTTAAGTTGTTTCTTCAATTGTGCAAACTCAAATAGGACAAAAATTGATCCCCTAGATTCTGTGAGAATAGGCTAATACAGGCTTTTAACGTCTCTTTGAAGTTAACGATGGGCCACGGGCCTACCATCCCAACAAAGAAATTCGGAGCCTTTAAGGGCTTTGTCTTCGTGGGCCGAAATATGGAAAATCAAGAAGTTTTCACGCTTTAAATTTTAAAATTTTAGTAAAAATATTCACATATTTTTAGTGAATTTTTTTAAATGTTAATTTATTAAAGATATTGTACTATTTTTATTATTAATCTTGACATTTTAATTATCAAAATATCCTGATTTTTCTCATCCATGCAATAGAGTTAATAATCTTATTACTAATATATATTAATTGGTATATTTCAATGTTATACTCCCTATCTTCTCATTGTACACCAATTTTTTAGAAAGACATTTCTTCCTTGTAAAATTTAAAGGAACAAACACCATTTAATTTTACTCTTTTTTGGAAAATACCATTTGAATATTATTCACTGATTAAATTAAATATAGGTCCTAAAAACACCAAAAATACTGATGTGTTTTAATATAGTTTGAAATACCATAATTTAATGAAGAACTAGAGAGCAAAAGAGAAAAGTAAGAACTAACCTGCAAAAATTGAAGGCAAAATGGGTTTAGTGGCATGGCTCCTTTTGGTAGAAAACAGAAAAGTGTGGGGTTTGAGAAATTGACAAAGAGGGTGATCCAGATTCATTTTTAATTGGGCCTTAAAGGGATGTTATATTGAGCATTTTTTTAAGTATTTATTTATTTAAGTGGTGTCGAAATTTTAATTATGTATGTGTGTATGCATGCAAAGATTTGGAAAGGAAAGAGCTAGTGCTGCTGAATCAACTCTGGAATGAGCTTCAAGAGAAATGCCAACTCCCTCTGTGAGAAATGAGGCTTTGATTCTCCCTGCAGCTTCTTCAGTAGCAAGTGAGGGATTTTTATCATGCCGCTCACTCCCTCTGTGATCTCTTTAACAAGATTCACAATTACTCCATCAATTCCCATCAAATGTTGCTTGTAAACAGCCTCCACCACATTGCTGAAAAATCAAACATGTTAATTAATTATTCAAAATTTCAAAACTGACTTCAATTTACCATATGTTAGGAGGGAGAGCTTGGATTCTTTGATCTTGTTCACTGCTCCTGGATTTCTAAGCACTCCTTTGACATCTGAAACAATCCCTTCTAAACCTCCCTCCAAGCAGACCTTGATGGCTGCCTCCAACTAATTCCTCCTCACATCATGGTAAATCTCAGTCCCTCCTTCAGTTAAGAAAAAGGCCTGATCCATCCATATTATCCAAAACAATTAATAATCAATACAGAGTCTTGATTCTCAAGAAATACCATCCAATAAAATTATTAATATATACCAAAACTACTCACAGGGTATGTGTCCTGTAGCTTCCTAACAAGCAGAGCAGCATCAGGCTGGAAGCTAGAGAAAATGATGGGTCTGCCTTTACCATACACAAACACCACCAGCAGGATGGCCTGGAGAAAACGGATGAGATAAACTTCGTGGTAGACAATGTTGTCATCAAAATTGAGCTCAGTAAATGAACCCCAGAGAGGGCTCTACTTTCTGGAAAGCCTTTTGCAATGTGCAAAGCGAGTCATCAGTTTCAACATCCCAATTCACTATTTTCCCATCTTTTGTTTTCCTCAACAGAGATCTTCCTTTCTTCTCTGGTTCTCTTTGAGGCCCATAGCCAAGGAATTCCGATAAACACAGTTCAGTAATCCTCTACTCAAAGACAGTACCCTGAAATCCCGAAAGATTTCAATTTTCAATACCTAGCAGCTAGAGAATACCGGAGTTAATTAATAAAGTAATCTAGTCAAATTCGACGTAATCAATGGGAAATTTTGCGGCGGCGTTGAAGGAGGCGATGGAATTCTCTTTAATGGATATCATTCTCGCTCGCATCGGAACTATGCAACATATTCATCCCGTCTCCTCTGTGCCCTGGCCGTGTTCAATTCCACGCCTACAGCAACACCAATATATGAATATTATTATCAGCAATTCAGATTAAGAAAACATAAAAAACAATGACAATGATGATTGATTACCTTCGGAGGAGAAACGTGTGGAGAAAGCAAAGCACTAGGGTTTTGTCCGACCTGGTTGAAGTTAGGTACGTCGGAGACAAGGATGGCTTTAAGCGCCATTGTTGCAGCCACCGAAGGAGCGAGGAGGAAGATGAAGAGGCTTCTCCTTCCTCAAACAATCAGGGAATTTGATTTGCAGCAAAAAAACATGGATTTGAGGAGTGGGGAATTTAATTTAATTTAATTAATTTTATGAAGGAAATTCAGAATCAGAGCCAAACGGGAATATTCCGTTATTCCCTCCAACGCTAGGCCTCCTGCCTTCCGCCTTTGCACTGGATATTCTTCATTTTCCGTTAAATTTTAACTGTATACATACAGATGGAACACATTTTGGGCCTTTCTTTGGGCTTGAGTTTTTATATGAGGTGTTACGTAGTGTTAGACTTAGTTTAGGCCTAAAATCCATGGTAGATAGATAGATTTAAAGAGTTGAAAAGTTGGACTTGGGAAGCCCATTACAGAGGCGGCCTAGAAAGCTAGAACTCTTCTTATTCAGGCCGGTTGATTTTGGGCCCTATTTTAGTTTTTACCCAAAAAAAAAATCAAAATTAAATTGTTTTTCATTCATGGGTAATGGGTTAAGAGTAACTAAGATTCTATTTCTAAGAAAGAAAAGAAGCAATTTATTGGATCAAAGGGACCAACCAATACCATTAGAAAGCTAGTACTATGTAAAATTAAAAGAGTTTGGTGGCCATTGGATGGAGGGATCCATTTCCATTATCACTTTATGAGAATCACTCCTCTTGATTTAATTCTTAATATTTTGCAATATAAACTATAAATAATATTTTTTTTATTCTTAATATTTTACAATCTAAATTGTAAATAGCTTCTTTTTTTTTTTTTTAATTAAAAGGCATTGCATTTCCGATTTAACACGTTTATTTTCTGAAATAGTCAACACTCTTCCATTGGCCCATAGCTTTCAGTGGGCAGGGCAGTACTACTTACAACCACTGTACCCCATCAATGCAAAGTAAAACAAGCATAACGGCTAACTTTCAACATTTGAAATTTCCGAGCATCTATTTCCCCTTCACACTGGTTTTCTTCTCTAAGAGTCAAGACAAGAAGACAAGCAATTACATTTAAAAAACAACTCTACTGATCAAGAAGAAGAGAATACATAAAAATAAAAGAAAGGAAAGGAGGGAGGGAGAGGGGGATAATAAATGCGAGAAAGAAGATGAGAAAGGAGCATTAATGGTGAAGACAAGGCCATTAAATATATTGCTGAGAGGGTAACTTAATTGCTTGCGTTTATCACTGCAATTGTCTGGTCTTCCTCTTTCACTCTGTGCTTTCATTGCTATCTCCATCTACCCCCTCCTTCTCTCTCTCTCTTTCTTATCCCCTGTAATGCAAGGCTGCAACCCACTACCCCAGATCCCATTTAATGCTCTCACCTTCTCTCTCATGTTGCAGTAATGGTGATAAAAAAATTAAAAAAAAAAAAATCATACAAAATTCATCTATCCATATCATATTTCACAAAATTTCAATACCGACCCATCAACAACAAAAGTCACAAAAACTATGGTAGGCACTAGGCAGTAATTTTACAAAGGCTAAAGTGCAATATTGCATTAAGACCGAGTAAAAACAACCAAGAAAGTGTTTACTTGTTATTATATTACTCATAATTGCAGCTTTATCAACTCAGAACTGAGTTCAGTTGGCTGTGCCTGTGACTGCTTTAACACTGAGCTGGCTGATGAGACCTCTGCTCCTGTTTGTGTGGACAAGGAAGGAGGTGAAGGAACAATCAAGCTTGGTGATGATGGTGAGGCATCTCTCTTTGAGGAGATTGCCGGTTGGGGTCTTAATGGATTTGGTGGTGGTGCTGCCGCACACACTGGGATCACTGATCTGATTTGAACTGCTGGGGCAATCCTGTGTGGATTGAACCCTCCTGTGTACATGTTCCTGCCAATTTGTGGAGCTGCAGTTGCCTTGAGGGGAGTTGGACTAAGAGACCCAAAAAGTCTACTAACCCTACTAATTTGGATTGGATCACTTTTGAGCACTGGATCTGGCTTGAATAGGGAATTAGAACTTGCCCCATAAACAGAATTACTTGAAACTGAATTTCTTGTGTTTGAACATTCTCCCTCATTTTTCAGATGCTCTTCCACTGGAGGAGACGGTATATTTTGAATTGCAGTCTCAGATGTTGTCGGTGATAGGATCTTAGAAGCTGTTCTTGGTGGGGGTGGAGGAAGAAGAGAAACAAAGCTGTTCTGCCTTTGTGTAGAACCATCCATGGCAGGATCCATTAAAAGATCCATAAGCCTCCATTGTTGATGGAGCAGAGGGTTGCTAGAAGTGAAAGAGCTATTCTTCACCATTCTTCTTCTTGCTTGGTTATGATGATCCCTTCTCCTAACTTGTTTGTTTTCATCTTTTGGCTTGAAACATGAGAGCACCCTTGCCACGGCTGCCTGGTCCTGCTCTTCGTGATTGTCACCTTCTTTATTCGTCAATGAATCCAAGTTTGGCACTGCAAGGAAATGTACATTTGTTCAGCTGCTAATATATATGAAAATACACAAAATACTTGGTTACATTAGAAACAAACAATCTAAAAATAGAGAATCAGGAACTACTTCTTTTCAAGGCAGACCAGGCTGCAATTGCAGCATTCTTCTCAGCTTGCTTCTTGGTCTTTGCCGATTCACCTGTGAAATTCATTCCAGCAAGCTCCACAGTGCAGGTGAAGATGGGGACATGGCCAGGACCTGATCTAACGGTGGTGTACACAGGGAGGTTAAGCCCTGCTCTGTGAGCAGTTTCTTGAAGAAGGTTCTTGTAAATTCCTGTCTCATCCTTGATTACAAATATCAAAACGAAAAGACAAAACATGATGAAACAGGGAAAAACATCAAACATTAGACAGATGGACATGATGGGAAAAAAAAGTACAAACTTACAAGAACTCTTGCAGTGAGAGACCTTGAAGGACCTCTTGAAGACAGGACATTAAGAGCAACCTCTGCAGCAGCATGCTCAGCCTGTCTCAATGTCGGACAGTAGCTTGGACTCTCAAAGATCTCACCATTGAAGTTCACAGAAGCTTTAAATCTTGGTGCATGATCCGGTCCTTCCCTAATACAGGCATAAGAAGGAAGATTGAAGCAGCTTCTCTGTGCAAGTTCCTGCAGTTGATTCTTATACATATCTGACATTGAACCAAAACCCACATGAATTCAAACAATCATCCCATCAGCCAAAAAGAAAACCTCTGCAACTGATAATCTTAAGGCAAAGAGACACACCAACCTGAATACAAAATGAAGCAAATAATTCAACTATTGAAGACTGAGGGAACTCACCTACTTCAGATTTATCACTCCTACATTGGCATGGGAGTTGTGTCTCTCAGACCAAAAGCATATGGTGGTAATCAGTGAAAAAAAAATGGAAAAAAGAAACAACTAGTAGAAGAGAAAGGTGACTGAGTGAAGGAAAATGACAGTTTGAGCTAAAAAAAGGCTTTGGTGATTTGATTTTTGGTCGGTCTATAGAGTTTTAGTAATTATTTATTATTACTGCATTTATATTTTAAAATGTTATTAATCACTGATGGAAGGGTGTGCCCTCCATATTAAGGTCACTTCTGTTTTTATATTTTTTCTGTTTCATTTTTATTTTTATTTAACTTTATCTTAAAAAAGAGAAAGGATTTTTATTTTTAACTCTTGACATTTCACAAACACAGCACAGATTTTTTCCAACAAAAGGCAGAAAGAAAACCAATTGATAAAAATGGAACATTAATAGTAATAAGTCTAGTAAATTACGTAACTGTCCCTGAACCTTTTGTTTTTTTTCTGCCGAAACAAATCAGAATCCAGAGCTTCATATTTTGTATCACACACAAAACAACAACACTAGTGGTCCAGGCTTTGCCTTGACTGGACAGTCACTGCTTTGGAGTTAACTGTAAAACTATATGAGGTTGTTTAACA